GATGAAAGTCATAAGGCTGTAGCTTCAAGTGCTGGAGTATTGGGAGTTAGGCCAGGTGCACAGTTGCGAGATTATGAAATAGCTATGTATTCAAGAAATCAGGGGCAAAGGCTTAAGAAGATCTATAATGTTCAGTGTGACTTTTGCAAGCTAAAGGGTCACACCAGGGATAATTGTTGGAAGTTAATTGGCTACCCTCCTGATTTCAAGACCAAGAGAAAGAAAAGAATAGAAAGTGGTGCTGCCTATAATGTAGTGGATGGTCAGTCTGGTGAACAATGCTCTCAAGTAAAGGCAAGGACATGTGATCAAGAAGATTCTGAAGTGCAGATGTCTATGATAAGCCAGATAGGTAAAACAACTTTCACACAAGAGCAATATAATCAGATTCTAAAGATGATCCACACTAGCGGTATATCAACACAGGAGACTGAGGCAGCAGTTATGGCTAATGTCGCAGGTATAAGCAGATATGGCTAATGTCGCAGGTAAAAGCATTGCTTTTCTAGCTTGTTCTAAGTCACAATAGTGGATAATAGATACATGAGCTACTCATCATATAGTGTCTGAATTAGGTCTGCTTGATGAGTCTTCTGTGGTAACGTCTAAAAAAATAAAGAGGGTCTGTCTTCCTAATGGTGATACAACTGTAGTTGCTAATGTAAGGAAAAGTTGTTTGACAGAGGGAAACAATATTTCTAATGTATTGCATATTCCTCAGTTCAATTATAATCTACTCTCAGTGTCCAAGGTGACTAGAGAATGACAGTGTTTAGTAAGTTTTTTCCTTGATTTCTGTGTATTACAGGATCTCTACACTGGGAATGTGAGAGCAATTGGAAGAGTTAATGGTGGTCTGTATTTCCTGGCTGATCAGAGTGCTAAAAAGACAACTAGTTGTGAAGACAATGAAGTATTAACTGCTAATACTGTGGAGAAGAAACAAGCAGAAGTGGACTTATGGCATAGGAGGTTTGGACATATATCTTCTAGTGTACTCAAAAGGATTTTGTCTGTTGAGAAGTCTTTGGCTATAGAGGATAGAATAAAACAATGTTCTGTATGTCCTAGTGCAAAGCAGACTAGGTTGTCATTTCCTTCTAGCAATATTAAAACTACTTGTTGCTTTGATCTCGTGCATCTGGATTTGTGGGGGCCTTATAGAGTTCCTACTATGAATGGAAATAGATATTATTTTTTATAGTTGTTGATGATTTCAGCAGAATGACTTGGGTGTTCTTGTTAAAATTAAAGTCTGATGTGTATGTTCAAATTCAGCAATTTGTTAGTTATATACAGACTCAGTTTCATAAGATAGTAAATGTTGTAAGAACATATATTGGATCTGAGTTTGTGAACCCATTATGCAAAAGTTTCTTTAACAAACTAGGGATTATTCATCAAACAACATGTGCCTACACTCCACAACAAAATGGAGTGGCTGAGAGAAAACACAGGCACATTTAGAGGTCACAAGAGCACTAAGATTTCAAGAGGAAATTCAAATAAAGTTCTGGGGATATTGTGTATTGGCAGCTGTGTATATTATAAATAGGTTACCAAGTTCAGTTATTCATTATCAAACTCCTTATGAAAGGTTGTATGGAAAGAAACCTAATTGTGATCATCTTAGAGTAGTGGGGTGCTTGTGCTATGCTAAGGTTGTGAATGAGCATGACAAGTTGTTGTCTAGAACAAAGTCCACTGTCCTCATGGGGTTTTCTGATACTCAAAAGGGATATGTGTTGTATGATATGGTGAATGATATTTTTTTATAAGTAGAGATGCATCTTTTAGAGAAGATGTGTTTCCGTTTAAAGAAAAGAATAAGGTCCCTCAAGAGCCTCAATATATATTTCCTTTGACTGGACAACAATATGAGTTAGCTGACATAACCACAAGTGGAGAATCAGTGAAGGTTGTTCCTGACATAAGGAATAAGATTTCTAATACTACAAGTTCACAAGGTGCAGTCTCGGATTATCAGCATGAACAACATGAGGTGACACAAGATGATACAAGCAGGTCACAGAGAGTGCAAGACCAGAGGAAGTCAACTAGGGAGAGGAAGACACCAGTGTGGATGTCTGATTTTGTGTCCTTAAACATTCACCAAGACGTACCCTATGCCTTATCAAAGTATGTGTCTTATGGAAGGTTGTCCAAAGAGTATATGGCATGTGTAGCAGCCTCTTCCTCAGTTACTGAGCCAACTACTTACTTAGAAGCCAGTAAAGACCCAAGATGGATACAAGCTATGAAGGATGAAATAGAAGCCTTGAATCACAATCATACGTGGGATGTGGTTAGTCTACCTAAAGGCAACAAAATCCATTGGTTGTAGGTGGGTGTACAAAGTAAAGTATAAGATGTCAGGTGAGGTAGAGAGATTTAAAGCTAGGCTAGTTGCAAAAGGGTATAATCAAAGAGAAAGAATAGACTTTAAAGAGACTTTCTCTCCAGTAGTGAAGATGAAATCAGTAAGAACTGTGCTAGCAACTGCAGCAAGGAAAAAATGGTATATCCATCAAATGGATGTCTATAATATGGACCTGCCTCAGGGATTTGCAAGCCAGGGGGAGAATAAGGTGTGTAGACTAGTCAAATCCTTATATGGATTAAAGCAGGCTCCAAGGCAATGGAATACAAAGTTATCAGAGGCATTGGTGAAGTTTGGTTTTGTTCAGAGTCAGTATGATCCTTCTTTGTATGTTAAGAAGACAACCGAAGGAGTCACACTTGTGTTAGTATATGTAGATGATATGTTGATCACTGGTGATAGTTTGAAACTGATAGAGGAAGCAAAAGTCACTTTGCAACAAGCTTTCAAGATGAAAGATTTAGGCGAATTAAGGTTCTTTCTTGGTATTGAATTTGCAAGATCCAACAAAGGAATTCTAATGTATCAAAGAAAATATACGTTGGAACTGTTGTCTGAGTTGGGGTTAGAAGCAGCTAAGCCTGCTGGCACTCCAATAGACTATAACCTGAAACTCACTTCAAAACAGTTTGATGATTATGTAAAAACCATGAAACCAGGTGATGATCCTCCTACTGATCAAAGGGCATATAAGAGGTTAATTAGGAAGCTTCTCTATCTAACAATATTGACTAGACCTGATATAGCTTTTAGTGTGCCAACTTTAAGTCAGTTTCTACAAGATCCTAAGAAGTCACATATGAAAGCTGCACTTAGAGTGGTGAGGTATGTTAAAAATCAACCAGGTTTGGGAATTCTCCTATCTAGTAGTTCAGAAGAAAAGATTAGTGCCTACTGTGATGCTGACTGGGCAGCTTGTCCACAAACTAGAAGATCTGTAACTGGTCTTTTTGTGAAACTGGGAGATTCACTAGTGTCGTGGAAGTCGAAAAAACAGACTACGGTTTCCAGAAGTTCTGCAGAGACAGAATTCAGAAGCCTTACAACAGTTGTAGCAGAATTAGTGTGGATACTAGGTTTGATGAAGGAAATTGGATGTGAGGTAACACTTCCAGTAAGTGTCTTCAGTGACAGTAAGTCTGCAATGCAAATAACAACAAATCCTGTATATCATGAGAGGACAAAACACATTGATGTTGATTATTATTTCATCAGAGAAAAACTACTTCAAGGAATGATGACTACAAACTACATTCCAACACAACAACAACCAACAGGCAACCAGCAGACATGTTAACTAAGGGGCTTGCTAGAGTCCAGCATATTTTTCTTATTTCCAAACTAGGAACGTGTGATATATTCTCCCCTTCCTAGCTTGAGGGGGAGTGTTGAGAGTAAGGGAAAAAAAAGGAAAAAATAGTTAGTTCTAAAAGTTAGTTATAACTAACTCTTAGGTAGTTAAGTCTTGGAAAAATATCTCTCTATATAAGAGAGTCTTGTATGTAATTGTGGTTAAGTTTTTTCCCCAAAATATACTTCTCTAATAGAAAAGATACAAAACTCTTCTCCTCTTCTTTTTTCCTCCTTTCGATCAGTTCTGAAAACTATTGTTCCCAAGAACAATTTCAATGAGAAAGCAATTGGAGTTCTTGTTTGAATACCATTCACAATCTTCTTTTAAAAGCATATATAGAGATGGGTCTATTTCAGTAACCTTACATAATCATAGTTGTAAAGTGAATCAAATAAAGTTAAGAGCATATCGTAAAAAGTTGATTGACTCTCGAAATTTCAAACATACTCTTATACCTAGTTATGTTAATAAGGGTCAATTTATTGCTTTAGAACGCAACAAATCAAGGAGTAAGAGCATAAAATTATATTAGTGGTACAAGCAATTAATTGTACACCAAATGAATTAAAACAAGGTTAAATGAAAGGTCGTCTGGTTGTCGGTTAGAGTAATATAGGTATTAATAATGTATAGTTTATTTATATAAATATAGTTACGTAGGATTTAGTTATTTTTATATTAGTTATTCTATCAACATTTTACATAAGTTTTCTTTCATGAACATGTATTTAGTTATATGGAAAGAAAAGACATGAACTAGATATTGTGTTAGCCATGTTATTATACTTTATGTGGAAAGAAAAAAGAGTCGAGACCAACCAAATATGTTACAACTTATGCTAGATTTTATGTAGAGATTTTTTTTTTTTCATTTTATAAGTAAGCAACGTATTAGCGTTTGGTTTGAGGAAAATTTTTTCATGTTTGATTGATTAAAATATTTTGAAAAATAATCTTTAAGAATATAAGTTTCTTAAAAAAATGAGAAAAGTAACTTTTCTAATGGAAGGAAGGAAAACTTGTTCTATATGTGATATTCCAATTAATTCACTATCTCTTTCCCATTCATCCAACTCGCCCAACTCCATTTCGTATTTTGCTAAATTATATATAAATGTTTTTGAATAATATCTTCTACTTAACAAACCCACGTATTTTCGAGGAAATTAGTACCAAACACACTGTAATTGGGGTAGTTTGGTACGGGGATGAGATAGACAAAGTTATCTTAGCATGCTGTTTCTGTCGCAGTATAGAAACAAAGAGTAACATAAATCAGATAGAAGCTCTTGCTACTTAAACAGAGAAATATCGAATTTTGTACAAAAAATCTACATGTTGAACAGAGGAGCTAAATAATGAGTCCATAAATATAATCACACTCAGCTTTTTTTCATGTCCAGGTAATATCAACATACTCTGTTGCCAACAGTTTGGTACAAAGACCTAAGTTGTGTGTTCCATTTGTCGATGGCAGCGTATTTCTTCATTTCTTTCGATCTGCATGAATAAAAGCATGGAAAACAAATTAGAAATAGTTTCAGCCAAAAAACAACCAAATTATCACAATGTTGAGGTCAGGGTTTCACCTATCTCCACATTCTAGCAACCGGTTCACTTGATCAATGTGCCCATGGATACGGTTGTCCAAGATGAGTGAGACCAACAACTCCTCGACGTCATTTTCTGGCACATTAAGCTCCTGCAAGTTAAGTAATAGAAACCAATTAGGAAGTCTATTACTTATGAGAACCATGGAGAATATGTCTGGATATTATGTGGATGTTCCAAATTCAAATATGTTATATGGTAAAGTGATATGCCACCATTATGCCATCAATAAACAGTTTATTGATAGAGAGCACATGATTTATGGGTTAACCACATGTCGTTCTGGAGACAAAAATCTGGTATTTAAGTCCAGGGTAGAGGGACGGGCCCATTATCCACAGAGCTTCGAATGATGCATAACTAGCCCTTGGAAAATCTTGGTTATAAAAAAGGAGTTTTTCCACACACACCCCTCCCAAATCACAAAGAAAAACAAAAGACATAATTGATAAACTCCGCCTTAAGATTGAGAAGCTACGAACAATGTTAGGGGAAGAAATTCCTGTAATACTCCATAACAAGAAAGCAAACTCTAACAAGCCTATTTACCTTGGAAATGAAGGGAATCCGGATTCTTGTGTAAGGCTTAATGATCTTCAGCAGCACTTGGGTTCTGACATTTCTTAAAAGATCTTCAATGTAATTTCTGATGAAGGGATCATCCATTATTGTTCTTCTATTACTCTGAAAAATATCAAGGAAATCACATTCAGAATGATAGTCAACAGTAACTATGAATTGACGGACTTATAGTAGCAATATTTTGATAGTTGCACCTTAAGAATTTTCTCAAACTCTAAGATCTCATTTCGTTGATATGCTGCTATAAGGTTAGTCATTGCCAGTATCTCAGGGTCATTTTTGTACCTGAAAAGTATAAAACACAGTCAAGCACCAACACCAATGCAATTAAGTTGATGTGCATTACTTGGTCCAGTGACTCTAACCACAGAAGAGTACCAGTCCTAATCTCTTTATTAAATTAGAACTCTTAAACTGCTCACGGTTTTGCTTCTTGGCCATCAAAGGGGTTAACCTCAGACTCCATCAGCATATTTGCCAGAACCAAGTACCTGTAAGATGGAACCAAGTGACCACAATATCAGGCAGATCAATGTTTCTTCTGCGGCGTGCAGGAGAGAGAAATGAAGGTGAATCAGCAAAACAATTGCCTAGGAACCATTAACAACTAAAGTGAAAAGAGATAAATATTATGTTAAACATACAACTAAGCAATTCTGACACATACCCCTTAAACAGAAAATGTCAACGAAATCACATATGAAGCTGTACTCAGAATGCATTCAAGTGCCTGCGTCTGAAGCAGCAAAAGCGATGACCTTAAATATTTTTCTTTTAAATATCATCTTCATGAGACTTAGTAAAATACCATGTAGATTGATCTAGTAACTTTTGCAGTGTACAAGATGTTATTTCTTTCCAACTGTACTCTTCCCATCTGTTCTACCCCAGAAGAAAATGCCAAAATAAGGAAGACGGCAAACAAAACAAGCACACGATGAACCGCACACGTACTTTAGACACTGAATGCGCCTCTGATTCCCAGCTTCATCATAGTTCTTGAAAGCTTCAAAGAAGTCTGTAGCTGCCTCTGCCCACTGCCGCTCTGCCATATGCATTTTTCCTCCACATTCACGAATTATTCCCATTATTCTAGGGTGAGGGATTGCTGACTTGACTGAAAGTGCTTTAGTGTATAGTTCCTGAAGATAAAATACACATTTTTTTCAAGAATCTCAGTAAGCAGCAATTAGTGATGGAGAGAACAGCAATTCAAGGACATGTAAGTATGTCGTTCCAGCATCTATGGATCCTTCTTAATGAATAAATTAGATCAAACAGATCTTCCGGACATATTCAGAATCAAAATAAAAAATGACTAAATAAAGAACAAGGGTATACCAAAAGATAAGAGGAAAGAAATAAGCTTGAAGCTTCCGAGAGAAGATCTAAATCTCCAATAAGACTTGGAACTCCATGTTGACGGATGCTTAAATGGAATAGAACTTAAGGCGGGAGTTCATCTTTGGATATTAGGGTATTAATTTACCCTCTATACAAAATTATATTTACCCTCTATATAAAATTATATAAATATTGTAAGTCTCACATCTTTTGTGGAAGTTTGATCAGCTTTTCTTTACTTTTGATACACATCATTCACTGCCTTATTGATGAAGTTTAACAACTTCAGGTTTCGTAGTGGGAAAAGATTTAAAATAGGGAGTAACTTGGGGTAAAAGTAAAACATAGAACCAGGGAGTAACTTGGAATGGTAAACATCACCTGGCATTAAATATAGAGATGATTTATTTGGTCATATCAGCTGCAAAGATTCACCTAATGGTGCACAAAACCCAGTACGATATCAAACAAACAGGAGAAAAGCTAATAACATACCTTCAGTTTTTTGTTATTTTTCGTCTCCGTGTACATTTGGATCTCTATTGCATATACCTCCAACAATTGTGTACCTTTCTTCTGGTCAGCAGTACCATCTTCTTTTTGACAAGATTTGTGGAGTTGTTTCAAAATCTAATTGAACGCTCAAGTTATTGGTAGGAAAACTTATACACTGACACTACAACAACAGATGCTAATCCGAAAAAGAATAATACCTTATTCATTCGTCCATACTCCCAAATGTCAAACCATATTTTGCAAAGTTTTAGATTTGTCTTGAACCACAACCTCTGTGAAAAGAAGGTGACCGTGAGGTCCTTGACAAGAACATGAACTCTAGAACCTTCAAAGCCAGCCTACTATACCCTCAAGAAGGAATATTGTTCTAACCTCGTTTTTTGCCTCTTCAAGGGCTTTCAATGTTGTCTGGTAGAACTCTTGTAGGAGATCAAAGTTCTGACTAGCTGATCCTGAGACGAAATCCATGATATTGTTTATACACTTTTCGCTATAATTTCTTGTCACTGCTGACTTGATGTAGGTTAGCATTTCTCTGTAAGCATCCATCATTTCCTTGTACTTCCCTAGCTTATAGTAAAGCTTAACAGTTTGCTTCAAAGCTTTAAATCCCCTGAAAAACAATAAGAACAGTTGGTAAGTGTCACACACAGCCTATTTCAGTGAATTTTAAAACTTGCAAGAGGCCTTTGCTTACAAAGCATCAAATTACATAAAACAAGAAGCAAAGGTGTGAAATAGCACCACAACTTTTAGCCATACAATTACGAAGTTTTCTAAGAAGCATCAAATCACATGAACAAGAAGCAAATGCGGGAAATAGTAAGACACCTTTTGGATTACAATTATGAAGTGTGCACAAGTATTCTCAATGATTAATATCAAGTTACCAAATTCACGAAACAACATAAAAAGCACAAAAAGACCAAACATATCAGATCTGACAATGAACTAGAGGTCTCACCCTATGAGCTCAGAGCAAAAGTTTCTGAAATTTTTTAAATCTCACACATGTAAACCAAATAGGAGCGAGAGACCCAAAGGGAGTAACCTGACAAACATTTCCAGTTCTTGTCAAACAATTATCTGCACTTGGAAGGTTAACATTTTTTTCCACAGGCTGTAAGAATGATAAAGTTCAATAAACTATCAGGATCTTCTCCCACATGTTCCACACATGCATTTGCATAATGAAGAAAACACAATCTATCTCAACTTGCAGTTTCTCATAATTCATCCTCAGCTTGTTTCTCAGGCTGCATGTCAATTAATACAAGGTTGTAGTAGTTTACTTGAGACAGAAAATTAACTGCAATGAGAACATGCAGTTCTTAATGACCCTGAACTTCGAATGGACAGATCTATCACATCAGTCTCCGGCCTCACAAATCTCACAAATACACAGCCATCTATTCTCTTAAACAAACACACAAGGGAGTTAGCTGAACAGTTTAACAACTACCATACTATACAAATTTTTTTATTACTTATCAATTTCTTACCAATCAGCCTTCTCAGGTTCCATATGAACTACTTCAGCAAATCCCTCAAGTGCTGCCTCTGGGTCTGTTTCAGCCAAGCCTATGAATGACATAATCACAGAATATTAGTAGGAAACCATGTCCAAAGAGAAGAAAAAAAGATGAGAGATATTAGTCCAAGATAAGTAGCTTAAGATGCATATATAGAATATCCACATAGTTGAGTTAAAGTCAAAACCCTTTATTTATAACAAAGAAATTCCCGAGTAGCAGCTGCGATTCGAAGCTCAGTAGATAAAGTCAATGCCACTACATAGGATATAGCATGACTTATAACTACCTTATAACCAGGGAGTAATATTGTTTTGACAACTGAGGAATTCCCAAGGATCAGCTGTTGCACGGTTTGGAACTCGGTAGGTAAAATCAACACCATTACATAGCATATAGCATAATCTATTACTTCCTTACAACCAAGGAGTTCTTTACAGGAGTATCTGTTGCTGCTACTGGTACAGTTTGCTTTTTCAGATTATTTAATATCTGGGTACTTCTATGTTGGCAAGTTCTTCCCTCGCGACTGTCATCACATTCATACAAAATCTTTGGGAAATAATCGTATTATGCAAAAGATCTGTTATACATAGAGCATCACACTTCACAGGCATCTCACACAGAAAAAGACAGGTGAGTCAAGTGAGAGAAACATCACTGCTACAATCCTCACTTTCTCTAACATTGTTTGAAAACTAAACAAAATCGAAAATCTTGGCAACTATAAACCGACTTGGCTCTAATAGACAACCTTATGACCGACTTGGATCTAATAGACAACCTTATGACCGACTTGACTCTAATAGATAAACTTATGGCTCTCCCTAACCTTGCTGTGCCAAAATTCGACCAATACAATCCTAGAACTTATATAGGATAAGGTATGGATGCTCCTTTTTCAACTTTCCAACACTAAATAAATCTATGGAAGCCTTTCCCTGAGAAAAAAATCACGAAGGATAAAATTCCAGAGGACAAAGAGCAGACTTGCCTTTTTTCTTTGATAACTAACTTCCCAAACTTATGTCCTATAAATTAAAGCACTACTCCCATATGTAACTCAATGATACAGGTGATTAAAAAAAACCATCAAAAGAAAGTTAAAAGAAGAGGAAATTAACTATCAGGATTCAGGACCCTGCAATGTCTAAAATCTACTGAGCTAAAATGCCTTCTTTCCTACTTCCCTGAAGTTCCTTTTACAAATGAACATAATTAGCGGCCTACATTTCTCCTCTATATGTCCAGTTTTCACTCCCAAAAGCGCAGAAAAATCTTTGAATTGAAGCCATATCATGCAGCCGATTCAGAATCCAAACATAATAGATTGACCAAATCAAATGCCCCTTTAAGAGTGTTAAGCTTTAACTAAAAAGAAGGGATCAATGTGCTTTAACCTTAAAATTTCAACCCAATATTCACCTCTGTTAATATAGTTTACAGGTAAAACTCAACAATGCAGCGTGATTGCTCGTCTCGTAGCAGACCACAAGATTTTCTTCTGTCACCTTGGAAATGATAATTAGCAATTTGGTGCTCACCCAAAAGTGTAGCCAAGACCCAAAGTGATCAATGAAGTGTGTTGAGAACCATAAGCCCCATGGTTATCCCAAAAACAAAAAGAAGGAAGATGGAGCATTAAAATCGTATTACAAAACTCTAAATTTAACTATCCAAATTATCTTATTCTCTTTAACAATTTATTATTAATTTTTGTCCCTAATTCAAACCAAAAGAAGATTTTGACTTAATCACCTTTTCTTAGTAATTTCCAATTTCAAGTCTTCCAAATTTTCTCAAGCAACAACTGTTCTTTCTTAACAGATCTTCCTAAAAGTACTTTCCTCTATGATCTAACAAATTAGCCAAGTTAACAAATTAAGACCTCTGTTCCTGTTTCCCAACTGAAACAATCAAAATGTCATCTAACTTAGTAATCAAACTTAAATTATCAAATACTACACTATAAACATTCACATACATGATGCATATTCAACACCTCAATTGTTTTCCTTAAGTTAATGTGTGAAAATTTTAATGCAAAAATTTTTGCAAAGTTTTTTTCGAAGAGAAGTAACTAATGCAGTTCTCCTGATTTTTTGTAATCCAAGCAGAGGAAGCAAAATTTAAAACAAAAGCATAAAACTTATCAGCATAATTACAACATTCAAAATTTCAAAACCTTTGGAGTTATAGTATTGGTTCTCGATGTCAACATCCTGCTCTTCAGGCTCCTCTTCTGAATACTCGAATCCATAGTCCTCCATATCTGCATCTTCAAAAAAAATTGAAAATACACATACATTAACATTCACAAGATCGGATTAACACAAAAAATAGCGAAGTAGGGAGAGTAAATTACCAGAGCCCATGGCTAATTAGAGAACACTGAAAAGAAGATTAATGGGGGAGATTTTTGAGCTCTGGATGAAGAGAGAGTTGTCGGTTTTTCTCTTTGGACTACTGTTATAGAGTCATGAATTTAAAGGGTCGGGTTAGATTACGGGTGCAAAGGTGAAAAGGATCATTTACCCCCAACTTTTGTTGCCCGTATTTACGGGACGTTTGGTAGCTAGTAAAAGTTGAGTCGACATTAGTAATGTAATAGCTTGTAAGACGTATTGTGTGCGTCTTACAAGGCTCATGTTAGTGTGTGTCTTCCAACCAACGATTTCACGGTATTCATCATTCCATCCAAATGTTGCTCTTTTAGTTCGATCTTCAATTTTTGTTGCCCTTTCGAAAATTTTGCTCAATATTTTTGCTTTTTTGGGTTCGGACTCAACAATTTACCTCCTAATTAGTTATCAAACATGATATTATTTATGCAGAATTGAATATTTACATAACTCACATTCAAACCAGCTACCAAATGACCCTTGATATTTAGTCATAATATAAAAAATGTTGTAAAGTCCAAACCAAAAAAAACAAGTAGACTAGATTGCTTCTTCTACTCACCTTCATCTTCTTCTCCGCAATTTTGGAGTTGCAGTTAGCGACGGAACTAGAAATTCATATAAGAGAATTTTAAAAAATACTAGTGTTACACCAAGAAATTGAATATTAGTGTTTAAAGACAATTTTTGAACCCCCTTTATACTACACCATAATATTTTCTTATGTTTGTGGAATTTAACAGAGCATACATATCCAAAAGATATTATTAATTATTTTTGCCTTAATTGTGTAATACAATTTTCTGGTCAGAAAAATTTAATTAAACTCACTTGCCTTTTTACCCTGAATTACAACAATTTGGTCTAATTTTAGGTGTAGTAATTCGAAAATCATTAATGTGAAGTTTGATTGTGGCGAAAGTTTCACTAGTTTTAATTTAGAGGGAAAATTACGTGATTAAGCAAATTTATACTTTTTAATTAGTCATTATAACTATAGTTTGTTATAATTATCACTCGCTGCTAATATTAACTATTAATTATGTAGGTTGACTTCGAGTTTGTATAATTAGTCACGTTTGTATAATTCGCCACATTTGTATAATTCACAACTAACAATTCTTTGTTTTATTTGTATTTGTATACAATGATTTATATTTGTATATGATAATGATGTCTTTTGGTTTTCAGTTTTATCATCATATACATTCAATCTCTTTGTGTATAATTTTTTAAAGTTTGTATAAACGTTTAGTTTACGGATTTTGTATAATATAATTTATATAATGTAATTTGTATAATATATATGTAAATTTATTTTAAAAAATAATTATGATACATATATGATAATGATGTCTTTTGGTTTTCAGTTTTATCATCATATACATTCAATCTCTTTGTGTATAATTTTTTAAAGTTTGTATAAACGTTTAGTTTACGGATTTTGTATAATATAATTTATATAATGTAATTTGTATAATATAATTTGTATAATTGTTTAAAGTTATATGTTTATGTTTGTATCAATTCGTTATTTCGAGTTTTATCATATTTGTATAATTCTAGACTTTATATTACTCAATTGTTCAAAAAACACACAAATTAAACAAACGTATCCGCAAATTATACAAACGAGATGCAAGTTATATAAATTATTGTCCTCTCTCTTTCGCCTCTCTCCTACCTCTCTTAATTTCGCTCGCCAGATGAAAATCGAATGTATTAGTGAAGCTATGACGGAAATAATGGAGAAAAACATTAATAACAACAAATAGAATGTCTTAGTGCTTCCCATGCACTACTAACTGTGAATTTACCACTGTTAGTAAGTGTCCACCAAGGTTTGTCACATCTTCTTGTTTGTTCACCCTTTGTTAACAGCGAGGTAGTTTCTGTCTTAGCAACTCATTATTTCATTGCCCTTCCTCTAAGAAATAATTCACTTCTTCTATTCTGTCATCTCTTTAAAGATAAATTTATTATATTTGAACTCTTACAACTAAATAAGAATTACTACATTGAAAACATAATTATTGATTGTCACCACTCACCAAATATATTTATAACTTGCCAAATTTAAAAAATCAAAGAGAATAAATATTGAAGCAAACAAGAGAAGTGAGGAAAATCTTAGAGACATACCATGATGGAAACAAAAAAAATTTAAGGATTAATGAAAATTCAAAACACAACATATTGTTCTTAATCAATCAGTAACACAATTCACAAATATATATTAGAATATGAAAATCATTGTTTTGTTGATGAACCCATTGTTTGGCATTCGAACAGGGTGACAAAGGCTTGAAAATGTGTCAAATTTAGACAAATGAAAATAAGGAAATCGTTTATACATATTAATTTGATGGGTGGTCAAAATAATTATATTATCAGATATGGTATAAATTAACTCAATCTCGTAGGTGGGGTCTGAAGAGAGTAAAGCGTATGCAAAACTTACCTTGAATAGATAGAAATATTGTTGCATTATTTTTTCTACTACACACTCTACCAAACGATCCCTATGACTATGAGATTACAATAATCTTTCTATCTATTCAAGGTATGAGTAAGTTTTGTATACGCTTAACTCTTCCCAGACCCTACATACAAGATTGAGTTAATCTATACCATATTTGATTAGATAAT